TAATGAGATATAACTCAGGTCTATGGCCAGGGCTGGCATGCTAGAAAGAGTAATCATGCGATTAGAGGATTGGGGCTACAGTCACTTCACATCAGCCTGAATAGTTCAGCCTCATTGCCAGGGAGTCAGTCACGCTTACCTTGTGAAACTCCACTAAAGCCTCTGGATAATGAAGCCCAGATGAGCTTCCCTGGTAGGCAGTATCCTGTATTACCATCCATTGAGGTTTCCGGAGAATAAAATGCCCTGATCACAAGGAACCTTCGCACGGGTACTCTCCTAGACCGCACTCTGTTTTGTCTTTTGCCTGGTTTTGATGTGTGTCCTTTTGTATAATAAAACTGTAATTGTAAGTAAAGTATTTTCCTGAGTTCTGTGAGTTGTTTCAGCAAATTTTCAAACCGATGGAGGGATGGTGAGAACCTCCAAACTTGGCAGCTGGTGTTTGAAGCGAGATGATGACTTTACCCTTTAACCGAAATGTGTCCTTAACTCCAGGTAGTTGATGTTAGAACACATCTCAGTGAGTTGTGTGGTATGTACTGCTTAACTGTGTAAGAAACTGCTGAACTTTTCAGAAGTGGCACTGTCATTTTATGTTACCAAGAGCAACATATGAGGGTTCTAGTTGTATCCTATAGACTTGGTACTGTCAATACTTGTATTTTAGTCATTCTAATAAGCGATACTGGTTTTGCCAATATTTTGCTGAGGATTTCTTCATCTGTATTCATGAGGGTTATTGATCTGTAGTGTAGTTTTTCTAACTTCACCTGATTTGGTATCAGAGTAATGCTGACCTTACAAAATCTTTTCTGAAGAGAATGTATAGAATTGGTGTTATTTATTCTTTAAATATTTGGTAGCATTTACTGGAGAAACCTTCTAGAAGAGATTTCTTTTTTCCTAAGTGTGTTTTTGGTACTTCTGCTTGGTATTATCTGAGGTTCCTAGATCTGTAGTAATCATTAAATTTTCAGAAATTCTCAGCCATTCAGATATGTCACCTGCCTGTTACCTTTCTCTTCTGCTTCTAGGATTCCAATTATGCATATATTAGACTGATGCTGTCCCACGGCTCTTACATGTTCTGTTCTGAGTTGATTATGTTTTTGTTTTCCTTTCACTCCATACGTGTGTGTGCGCGCGCATACATGCACGCATACCTGTTTTTTTCATTTAGGGTAATTTCTGTTGATTTATGTCTAAGTTTACCAGTTCTCTCCTCAGCAATGTGCAGTACAGTGATTAGCGAATCCGAAGCATTCATCATCTGTTACTTTTCATTTCTGGCATTCCTATTTATAGTTTCTGTCACTTTGCTGAAGTCACCCATAAGATCTTGCATATGTTGTCCACCATTTCCATAACATTAACCAGTTATTTTAAATTTTTGGTCCTCAGATCTTTGTTGTAACAGAGTCTGGTTCTTTTGTTTTTTCCAGAGTTTTGTACTTTTTTATTTATAGTTGCTATACAACATAGTGATTCAACATCTGTATACATTATGCTGTGCTCACAAATGACAGCTACTGTCACCATAAAACACTATTACAATCCCCCTGATTGTATTCCTTATGCTGTACCTTTTATCCCTGTGACTTACTCCTTAACTAGAAGCTGGTATCTCCCATTCCCCTTCATCCATGCCCACTACCTTTCCTCTGGCAACAGTTCTCTGTATTTTGGGTTTGTTTCTTTTTGTTTAGATTCCATATATAATTTTTGGTTTCAGGTCTCACATTTAGGTATTTCATCCATTTTGAGTTTATTTCTGTGTATCATGTAAAGATTGTGATCCAACTTTTCTTTTCCTACCACCATTTATTAAAGAGACTGACTTCTCCCTCTTGTGTATTTTTACCTCCTTTACCCTAGATTGACCTTGGGTTTCTGGGCTCTCTCTATTCTGTTCCACTGGATCACTAGGTCTGCTTTTGTGCCAGTACCATATTGTTTTGATTACTACAGCTTTAGAGAATATTTTGAAATTTGGGATCATGATACTTCCAGCCTTGTTCTTTCTTAAGATTGCTTTGGTTATTAAGGGTCGGAGTCTGGTTCTGATGATTTCTTCACTCCAGAACACATTGTTTGTTTTCGTATGGCTCTGTATATTTTGTTGAAAGTGACACATCTTGTGTAGAGCAGTGGATCATTTGGTGAATTGTTTTTACACCTGAAAATGGGCAGGCTTTTTCTCCTGCTTAGACTTGTATTGCAGAGTCTGAATTAATCTCAGGTGTTGTGCTTGGTTTGAGGTTCATCATTGCTATGATTAACCTTAGCACCAAATTCTCTTTCCTTTGAATAAAAAGACAAATGAGTAGTGGTTTTAAATTGCTGGATTTTATTAAGGTATTGGCAAAATTTCAACATACATCTTACCTGAATGAACAGTTTTAATAAATAAAATATGAAGGATCACTCATGATTACAACTGAACTCAAAAGTGAGCTGTAGAGCAGGTTTGTAAATTGATACATTTACTTAGTAAGAAATGATTCACTTCATTCGCTTCACTCCATAGAGAATTCTTTGCAAAGAAATGTCATGAACAAGGGAACAAAGCCTGTCTCTCACCAAAGAGCACCTAGAGTTAGAGTTAACAATGATGTATCTGTGGATTATCTAATACATCAGAGTTTATTAGAGTATTTCCTTTTCCAGAACAACTGCTGTGTCACTCTGGAGTTCCCTGTGTTATTTCCTTTTTTCTAATTAGTACAATAAATAGTTTTCAAAATAGAAGATAAAATGCTGTTAGATGAAATAACAATTATTTTTCAACACAGTACCATTTGTCTGGAAAATAGTCATGTGATAATACTGGTGGTATCTTACTTTGAAGAAAAACATTTAAGCTATTCACAGGTTAGAACAGAAGAGTGGGTAATTTTTCCTTTAATATGACATGATTTTAAAAGGTGAAAAAAGTGTTCTTTTTGCTAATTTGTGACTCAAAGAAAAACTGTCCAAAATTATGTGACCAAAGCTATAGTATCCCCCTTTATGGGCCTTGCATAGGCGAGAAAGGTCATCAAGTGAATAAATTATGTTTAAACACTTAAGTAATTTACAAACCACTTTCTCACAAAGCCTTGGCAAGCCTTTGATGGGGGAAGGAAATACTTGAACTACAGTGGTTTTATCTGTAAACACTGAATTTCTTTATGCATCATTTTATCTGCCCATTGGATGTTGCACTTCTTACTGGCACAGTGTTCCAACAATGGAGTATGGTTGTCATAAAGATGTGGCGTGACACTATACCACCAGGTTGACATTATACCACTGTAAATGTGGTCAGAATCAGACTCAGTGTTGACATTGACATTGTTGACACTGTCCTTGGAAAAGGTGTTACTTTCAAGGATCTTCCTAGTTAAATGCAACAGAAACTTTATAATCTTAACTAATTCAAGGACAGTGGATGGCACTTCTAGGTAAAGAAAAGGTATATATATATACATATATGTTTCCACCATCTTTAGCACAGATTTAAGTGGGATTAATGGCCCCAGAGTTTGGTGCTGTAATGTTGCTAAACCTCAGATATCCCTCAAAAGTACACATCTAGAAAGTGAACAAAGGAAACCGTTAAGTTAGGGACTGATTCCCTTTGAAACTCACAGTGAATGTACAAGGAGTTTGTAATGACTTCATTTGGTAACTTGAAGTCTGTTTCCCTAAGGAGTACTACACTTTCTTGTTTATATTTGTTTTACTATTTCCTATTCTAACACTTTAGCAGGCAAACAAATTGATGCAGATCATGTTAAATTGGAAAAGGGATACCGTCACTCTTAAGGATTGAGTGTAGAATTTTCACCACCACTAAATTACAGTTAGTAAAAGTACAAAACACATAATTCACAGACCATTACCTCAGCATTAACAGTTAATATATATAATATATACTTTTATACTGTCTAATATTTTTACAATCACCAGATACACCATCATTAAATACAAGTTACAGAATGTGTAGATACCATTAGTTAGAGGGGTACTTATTGCTTACATTAGCAAGCAGCAAATAAGGGCACAGGATTTGAACTGAGGGGGAACTACTTTCTATCACCAGTGGCATTAAGATATAACACTGTATTTCACAAAGCACTGCTTTTTACCTAGTTTATAGAACCAAGAGCAGCATATATCATACCAATAACCACTACTTTAATATTACAGAATTGTAAAGGACTTACCTTACAAATGGTACCTAACTACTCTAAATATGCATGTTGTGAACAAATGAATAGTTGCTATTTTTCACAATATTGGTTTATAACTTGACCACACTAGAACTACTTTATTTTCTAGAGGGCTACTGGTATGAAAAATGGAATTAACACTGCTTATATAGTCAGATCTACAAAATTCAGACCCTTAAGGATGTGGTCTGTGTTCATCTGAGTTTCATCCAACCATTTTTCCCCACTAAAAAAAACCTATCATTTATATCTTCTTTCCTTTCACCTTCTTAACTTTGATCCAAAATAGTAGCAATGGACAACTATAGAAATAATCTTAGAAAATTTTAATTTAGGTAAGTGCTTTGGATTATAATGTGTACCAATATTCTGCTGCCTCTTTTCTTGTTTCCTTAGATAATTTGATTTGAAACTGATACTGACCTGATGGGTTGTTAACAAGATCTAGGCTTCAGAAAATGACGGATGTGAGTGAGGTCCGTGTAATGGGGTCAAACATCAGGTTGGTGAAAAGATTCTGGTACTATAGCTGGAGCCATGTTTACTCCCTCCTTCTCAGCCATGTGTCACAAGACGAGAAAAAATAAATTTCTTCAAAATGAAGAGAAATACTGATAATCTCTACTACATCCAAATTCTTAAAAAATAAAATCTATAGATTAACAATCTGATCATTGCTAAAGTGAAGTTTCTGTGTATTTGATACAGCTATACTGGCACCCAAAATATGCTAGTCCTTTGTTTTTAAAATCTACGAATTTGAGTTGTCACTATGGGTCTGGGGAACATAATTGTATTATGTAAAAACATAAGCTGTGGACATTTTGTAGCAAGAGCTTTTGGTGCCTCCCAGTGGGTATGAGTGGGCAGCTCATAGTTCTTGGCATGGCTGGTCCACAGTTGACTAGGGGATGGTAAGAGGTCATGTGGTGATATTCATGATTCTTAAGAGAATCAGAGGCTGCTTCATTGAATGAATCTGATTATTAATTTGCTGTCTTTAGTTGAAGATACGTTTCTAGCTTAAAACTACAGAAATGGCAAAAAGCAGAAAATTTCAAATTATAAGTCTTAAAATGAGAAAGATGTCCCCTTTGCAGTCTGAAGATACATGTAGCAGGACTCAGGAGTGTTCTTCTCCATTCATAACTAAATAGACCTCACTCTCCCTTTACCTGCCTTCTCCTTTGCACTTGGCCTCTGGGCTCGCTTTAGGCAGTACTTTCAACCTCTTTCACACCGGTTCATTCCCTTAGGGGAAACAATTTTAGGGAAGTTTAAACCAGTATTTTTCATTCTCATTCTCCAAAGCCACTTTTTATTTTGTAGTAGTATATGCCTTTGCTGTGAACTTACAGAAAAAAAGGCAGAAAAAATAGAAATATTATTTTTCTTTTTTAAATGGCAACTTGATTCTAGTATATTTGTACCTAACATCATCTCCATTAAGCCAGTTTATTCCTGAGATGAAGGTACACTGAAAAATATCATAGCATCATAGGTTAAAACCAGTTGACAGCAGTCTTCTAAAATGACAAATAATAAAAAATCCCGCTAAAAGCACCAGAACAGGTTATGAAACTCCCAAATAGCTACACAGCCCTAGGAAGTACTTTTTAATACAGAAAATTTTCATAATCGTTTTTGTTACAGAAAAAAAAAATCCGTAAATCTTTTTGACTATGTCCCACCTCACAAGTCAGAAAATAATGACACGCTTATTATACTAGTTTTCCACTTTCATCATAACCAATTAAAACCCATATGGCTTTTAGTCTTTTATCAAACAAAAAAAGAGGGGAGGGTTTCCCACATATTTCCCCAGGCTTTTGGGGAACATCCCCCAACTAAATCTGATTCTGTATTAAGTTTTCCATAGATATAGTAGGCACATCGAACCAGATTTCACCTGCATTGAGATTTCAACACTAGATATCCTGACTAAAACAACTAATTCACAAGCTTCCACTAGTGATGTGAAGGGATAATAAACTGGGGGTCATATGTAGGTGTAGAGACACATCACAGGGACCAGTTGTATAATTTCGCTAGTGAAACCGCCAATACTTTTTTTTTTTTGATTGAAAACACTACTTTGAGTTTTCTAGAGATCTATTTACATTTAAGAATTGAGCCACCCATGGTTTCATAATGAAGCATGTATGTTTCAGAAACATCTACCTTGTTCCTACTCTGATAGTGGTATCTTTATTGGGGGGAGAGCTAGCTAGCCTACTTTAAAGAGGAAGTATTATATTTTATAGCTCCAGGGGAGACCTGGGTCTGGAATGTCATTACTCTTTCTGAGCTTCCTCATCATGTTTGTACTGTATCCTTTCCAAATATTTTGCCTCCATGGCAGAAAACTTCTGAACATTCTATTTCTCTTCCCACTCTGAATAAGTGAGGACAAACTAGTGCCTATTTTGTGGGAAGGCTCTTGACCAGACATAAATGAATACAGCTTTGGATTAAACCTGAATCCATGCCATCTCTTTGAATAATGATAGCGTAAATGAGACAATCTGGAAACTCTCTTTCCCAGGAATTTGAACTGTTCATCTTCCAACCTAGGACAGACAGGAGACAAGCTCTCCATTCTGTACATCTGCTGCCCTGTTGAACCCAAATTAAAAGAGGGAAACTCTCCAGCACCACCACTCTGTTCAGGCAATGATGATTGAACTGATTTTTTCTCCATTATTAGCTCATTAATAGGATTTGCTTTCTTTGGTGCACCAGGACCAAACATCTCAATTGGTGACAAAAACTGGGCACTGTGAGGTTTGCTTGCTTCTATTTGTGTGAGATCTAGGTAGCCCGGGTCTTCCAGCACGTTGATTTGGGACCCTGGGCTCAGGCTAGTTCTATCAGTGAATGAATCCACACGCCCATCATAGCCTAGATCGGCTGGTGCTGAGCACTGGTGCTGAGGCCAAGGGCGTTTGCACTCTCCATGATTCTCCTTATCATCCCCACCATCTTCTTGCCCTCCTTGAAAAGAGTTCTCAGTCCAATCTGATTCCTCACTAACATTTACAGCTTTGTTCATGTCCCTCAGGAATACCACAATAACAGTGATGTTATCACTTGACCCAGCATCACGAGCTGATGCAACTAATTTGTGGGCAACCATGCTACTGTCTCCATTATTCTCCTTCAGGTGGTCAGACACAACTTTCACTGCCTCATCAGGGTTCACGGTGTCATAGAAGCCATCACAGGCCAGAATGAGGTAGTCTTCAGTTCCATCCAAAACAGTAGAGGCAGAATCTGCATCCCCACAGATATATGGCTTATGTTCAGCATCTCCTGTGGGAATTAGAAAGTAGGTCAGATTTTGGTTTACCTTGCACGAAAGAATGTTTATGGCCAATGCTTTGATCACAATTTACTGGGTTGTGATCTGAATTTATCAAAAGAATTTATAAACTAGTGTCAGGTAAAATACTTGAATTCTTTGTTATTCACCTGCTGCTCATGCCTTACTCTCAGCTAAGTAATTGCTTACACTCTGAATCTTGTGCCTGTAGCTATGATTTAGGTTTAGCTGAGCATGGCAACAAATGTCAAATCTAAATTTTTTGCTGCATTGAAAAATTCAGTGTTATATGGGAAATTTCTGATTAACAGGTATACTTTTTTACTAGTAGTTAAGTTTGATTTAATTGAGATTTGAGAACAAGTCCACATTGAAAAAAAAAAAAACCCAAGTTGTGGTCATTCTTTTCATTAAATAATTTTCTGTCCTTGTTTTCAAATTAGTAGCTTTATGCTGCTAGCACAGAGAAAGGTTTGAGTTACAAGGGATTTTAAAAAATCAAGTCCAACAAAAGTCATCCCAAGATTCAAACAAGAACTAGAATGTAAGTCTCTTGGTTCCCAGTCCAGTTTGCTTTCTACTTTTTAATGCTGCTTTACTTGTAACTTCTAGAGAACAACTGGAGAATGTATGACCACATTTCTCTCACCTTCAGGGACTACCATATTCTTGCCTTCTTCATTTGTCTCTAATCCAACCTCTGCTTCCCCCGCTGTCTTTATTGCTGTTGTTCATTCTTCACTTACGAACAACGGTGAGAACCCCCAAAGCCCTACTGGGGCATCGTTTCTCTTCTGTTTATTTCATCCACTTACAGAATGACATTTGAGCTGGGCCTTGAAGGTTAAGTTAGTTATCACCAGGTAGAGAAGGGCTCTCAGTTGAAGGAATAGCATAAGCAAAGACACAGAGGCAACTGTTTACATATGGGGTGCTTGGGAGTGGAGACAGAAACCTAGCCTAGTGTAGGCCCAAGGTCTCCAGGGTATCTATCACCAGACTACTGAGGAAATCATATGCAGTCCATTCTGGATCTTTCAGATCTAGAACACTTACAGATCCATTCATTTTACATTCATTGTTTTCCTCTGTGTATTTGGAGAGGGCCTAGCCAGAGGGTACTTAACCTATTAAGTCACCATAGTTTATTAGTAAAACAACTCGTTTATTACTTCTTTACATAGAAAATAGTGTATTTAGCAATAATTCCTAGATTAGGATCTCATACTTGGGAAACAGAAGTTATTATTATTTTTTTTTTTTTTGGAAACAGTAGTTAAAATGTACAAAACGTTTTGTCATTTGTAAAGTAACAGCATGTAGCTTAGTGGTTAAGGATGCCAGCCCTGGAGTCAGATACCTGAATCCAGATCCTAGCATTTGTTACTTGCACACCCACATCAGTTACCGTCCTTTCTATGGGACTAAAAAATGAAGATAATTACATATAAGTTATCTGGCTATATCATCACTGTTTCTGGTATCTGTTCTAGGTTCTCTCCTATCCAAATAAGATTCTCTCCAACATTTCACATCCCTGTTTAATCCTCAAATAGGCCCAGAAAGCTCAATAGGAACCCTAGAGATAACTGCTAGAACCAGTATGGGCCACGTTCCCTATCCAGCAGGTTTTAATGATTGGGGCACCCTGAACAACAGATACTACTAGATAGGAAACTAGTCTTTTTCATACAGTTGCCAGAACTGTCTTCCCTCAAACATGGTTTTGACTCCATCAATTTCACTTTTATACTATGATGTCTTCCAGTAGCCTGTGAGAGCTAATCAAAACTTCCAATCATGGGATTTAGTGTTCTTCACCAATCAATCCACTTTACTAAATTTCCCTGTCCCCTACTCCACCTGACTATTATTATCATCATTAGTATTTTCTGAATTCCAGCTCTAAAAATAAATGTGATCTGAGTCATACTGTTCCCAAAAATCTTGTTTTAGTGCTTCAATTAAAAGGCTACTGCAACTGTTAGTTTGGAACAGAACATACAAAGATTTGCACAGGGAAGATGCTGCCAAAATTCTGGCTTTTCACCTGCTCTACTGTTGGATGTCAAATTCATGACATTTCGCCCCCAAATTTGGTAGGAGGGCATGATTATTATCCATTTCTTTTTTTTTTTTTTTTTTTTTATTATCCATTTCATGGTAGAAATGGCAACATCCTTTTATCTTCAACCTCCTCTCTCCATATGCTAGGAAACTTATCATGCCTCTGTCAACTCTGGATCATAAATCTGAAGGGTTCACGAAGAGAAACAGTTGAAAAGCTTTTCATTTTTGAAGCTTTAAGTGTTACTTATTTTCTAAGTAGAGTTGAACTCTGCTTAGGAGTCCTTTTTCTTGTCCCTGCTTAGCCCCTGATTTTATTCTCACATTCTTCACCTCTCTCTTCCAGTTAAGCTACTGGATTTTTGGTAGATGGCCTAGTTTCCTACTTCAAAGAAAATTAAGTTTATCAAGCCTGAATTCCCTCAATTCCTACCCTCCGCCCTTTTGTTTTAATCTAGAGAGACTCACCGACTGCACCAGCTACACCATTGTGCCAGGAGAAGAGGGCTCCACTTCTCAAAGCTAACCTATGCTCTGGGATCTAACTCTCTTAAGACTCTGGCTTCTCTCACTCTCATTTTCAATTTCTCTTCTACTTGCTCTCATCTTTTAACCTACAAACATACTCTGATCTAAACTCCTTTTCCTAAAAACAAAAACAATAAAAGCAACTCTTTCCCAGATCAGTTTTCCCTCAAGCCACCACACTATTTCCTTTATCACTAAATTGCCCAAGAAACTAAGTCTACACATGTTCTTTTTGTTATTGCTCATTTTCCCCTCACCTGATTTTCTGGGTTTTTTTTCCATCTACTAATCCAAAACATTGCTCTCATATAGTAGCAATTAGTTCCTATTTTCAAAATTCCATGGTTTTTTTTTTTTTTAAGATTTTATTTATTCATGAGAGACACAGAGAGAGGGGCAGAGACATAGGCAGAGGGAGAAGTAGGCTCCCCATGGGGAGCCTGATAATGGGACTCGATCCCAGGACCCCAGGATCACAACCTGAGCCAAAGGCAATAACTCAACCACTGAGCCAACCAAGAGCCCCATATTTTTTTTTTTAATCCACATTCTCATTTGACTTCTGTAGCACTTGACCCTATGACTACTTATTCCTGGAAATCCCCTTCTAGTATCTGTCATAGCTCACTTGTATATCCCTGATCCCTTCTTGATTTTCTTCAGCAGCTCCTTAATAATAGCACTAATCATTTGGTGCTAAAACTGTGCCAGGCAGGGCTCTATGTATGGTGCATTTATTATATCATTTAATACAAAAACTCCGTGAGCCATTTACTGTTACTATTCCTACTTTTACCCAGGAACAAATAAACACAAAAGTTAACTTCCCAAGGCCCACAGTTTGTAAAGTGACAGAGTGAAGATACAAGCCTAGAGAGCATGACTTCATTGTGTTAGTCTACCTTAAGTAAGAAGTCTTTATCCTTGGTCTCATCTCTACCAGTTCTTCCTGGGCAGGCAATGCCATCCATGCCTACAGTTTCAACTAACATAAAAAATATTACTTAACAGATTGCTATTATTTCCAAAATGAGATGAGTTCCTGCATCTCTATCTGGAACTCAGCTCCAGATCTGCATTTCTGACTGCCTATCAATTCTCTCTCCTAAAATATCACACAGGTATCTAGAATATAGAATATGTCCAAAGTTCCAAAGTGAACTAATTATCTGCCCTCCTCCCCACCCCACAAACTGCTGTGTTTTTTTTTTTTCTTTTACAAATGCTTTATCATCTCAGTCACACAAGTCAAAAACCTGGAAGTTAGCTTTCCTCCACCCCCACAAGCTGTCACTTCTGTCCAATTTCTACCTCCTGTTATCCCTTTTGATCTGCCCTCATCTCTGTAACAAACTGAACCAACAGCCCCTGAATGATCTCATCTAGGCGCTCTAGTCTGTCTTCCATACCATCATCACAAATACCTTATAAGCCTGATCATGTGGCCTCTCTGCTTATTCACCTGGTAAGAGTCTAGATTACTTAGCCTGGCATATACGCCCACCCGCCCCTTCACAATCTGGCACCAACACTTATTTTTATCGTCATTCCTACCCTCTGTCTTAGCCTCTTGTACATACTGCTGTTCCTAAAACATGGCAGGCTCTTTCAGATGCTCCTGTATTTCTTACTCCCCTCCCCCTGGAATTTCCTTCCCTACACACTGTCTTCCACATCTAACCTAAAAGTCACTTCCTCTAATGGAGTCTGCCTTCTTCTCTCAGACCGTCTCTTATTCAAGGACATTCTTCCTTTGCTTTTAGTTTCCCCTTCTATTATATTTTTAGTAGCAAGAGAAGACAAGTATTCTCTAGTAAAGTTGGTTCTATGACAAGCATTAAAGATACCTTTCAATACTCTGACAAAGACCATAAGATCAAGGGGAATTGTCAGAAATAATTCTACATGAGGATGTGTTTCAGAAATGGGAAATTTCCCCTCTGGGGTCTTATATTTCAGAGTTCCTAGTGACTCTCTCAATCTGAGATAAAAACTAACCCTCATTTTTTCAGAAGTACTTGCAGGATCTTTCAGCTTTTGCTTTCTCTCTCAGCCTTCTGCTGCTCACATTTGGGCCACTTCACAGCTTGCTAGCACCTTCCCAAAGAGTGGGAGGAACTCATATATCACTGGTGAAACTGAATCAGTCCTTTGAGATTTTGTCAATGTTCTGGAATGTTTTGGTAATGATAAGCAAAATCGGCGGATTGCATGTGAATTCCATTTATCCATATTATCCCTATGTTAAACTACCTCATTTAATTTCTTTAGGAGGCAGGAATGAAGAACTGCAGTTATCCATGCCTATCACCCATAAAGACACACAGATACTGATGTATTCTTCTTAAAAAGCTACACCATGAAGACTAAAATATAATAAACCCAGGTGCCAAAATGAAACAAAAACAGCAACAGGACTGTCTTTGAACTTACATCCTTGCATTTTGTCCAATCAGTTTTAGCTGTTTACTCTCTAAGTTTTAGACCGTTTCAGTGACTTTCCTTCTCTTGAAGAATTAAGGTTCCCAGGGAGACAGATTCTTTGAAGCCCTAGGGTTATCTGGCAAATCACTATATTCCACACACAAAAAAATTGTTTTCATCTAAAAAATACAATGTTTATGTCCTTTTATAATTCAGTGAAAATAAAGATATATGCAAGGTAAAATATAGGGAGGGAAGCCTTCCATTCTCTTGGAGATACTGAGTTAAGCTAAATATGACCCAAATTGTAATGAAATGAGGATCACTGTAGTTTTAAGCAGATTTATGTCCCAAAGACAAAAGGCTTCCATTAAAAAAAAAAAAAAAACTATACTAAGTTCTACATTTCTTAATATTCCCTTTCAATAATGGAATTTATATAAATGAATAGGTTAATTAAAAGGCATTATCTAATTGTTACTTTAAACAATAATAATCACTCTGATAATATATATCACCGTTTCAGGTTCCCTTATTGTAGGAGAATTAATATGAGACAATGAGCTAGAAGAGGACAGTTTGGAGAAACAAAAAGGAATCGGTTTTTCCTACCAATAGCTCTGGAGACCGACAGACTTCCATTCACCCTCCAGGCACCAAACCAGACTACACAACCTCCAAGAGCCTCAATTCGCTGCTTTTCATCCTAAAGAGCAATGCAATAGAAAGAAGCAAATATTGGATTCAGGATGTACTTATCTACCTTAACAGTAAACAACAGATAAAATACTCATCAGCTTCCTGGAAAGGTTCTCTTTATTACTCCTCTCTAAGATGGGCATGTTGCTCCGATAATGGTGGTAGTCATAATAAGCAAGTAAATCTTAAGCTAGAAACCTGCCTCTGGCATGTGCCCTCCCAGAACAGAGCACACTTACCTCCCTGTCCGGTTTGTGCGGCTTCATTAGCTCAACAGCTTGACCTTTTCTCACAAGCATGACCTGGGAATCCCCAACCCAGGCCACATGAAGCATGTTCCCTCTGATGAAAGTCACCACTCCTGTAGTCCCACATCTTAAACTCTGAAAGTAATTTAAATAAAACTAGAGTCAGTAAAAATAAATAGACTTCAGATTCTCACTGAGAAGCAATTTATAGTTAACACAAACTTTTAGTTGGGGGCTAGGCTATTAATAACTTGATTTCACAATAAACAGCAATTCCTGTTTCTCAGTGCATTTTTATGTGCATGAATGTATGTGCACACACATTGATTTTATCTATGATATGCAAGGCAGGATGATTTTTCATTTTATGTACAGGTATGAAAACTATGGCAGGTTATGTGACCTTTTCAAGAGCGGGTAACTCATTAGTACACAAAACAACTGAAATTCTTCTTCCTCCCAGTCCAGGGCTCAATCCACTACAGCAACCCTTAAAGGTTTCCATATGCTGGTCTCTGTTTTGTTATTGACCTATACAGTATGTGCAGGGGGAGGGTCCCAACAAAGTATCTGATTGGTACAAACAAATGCTCCCATACTCTAAATATTAAGATAGGAACCAAGAGATAACATATATTCCCTGGCATGCTAAGTTGCTTATACTTTAAAAAACAACAAACAAACCTGCAATCATTTTAGGGGCCTCTGCTTTTGGAACACTGCATAAAGAAGAGCTTGAAATTTCACTGCAATAGCTCAGTACCAGTGTACTTAATGCTCCTGATACTACTACATGAAAATGACATCTCCATTTGACATGAGTCACCACTAAATAAGCATGACTTTCTGTTACCAAGGACTTGGCCTAAATTAGAACCAATGCGTCAAGGGTGGTAAAAGGCCCCTTGTATCCAATGAGGAAAACAACTTCTCATTTTCCCTATATAGGGAAAGTTTGTTACAAATCCTCACCCACCAATAAAATGTCTTCCCACACAGAATGTTCAAAGACTCAGCCCCCTGGAACACATGATAAAGACACTTCAGTGCATGTGCCCTGGAGAGAACAGGAGGTAAGGCTGCTTCAGCAACAGGAATAGCTACTTTCTTTCCAGCAGTTAGCAGCACATGGAAGGAAGCACGAGAAGGAGAAAAGTAACTGCTGAGACAAACCTAAATTATTCAAAAGAACTATTGGCAAGACTGAGAGACACTAGGATCACTGGCAAAGCAAATGAGGTGAACAGGATCAGAAGGAAAAAAAAAACAATTTTGAGGACACAGAGGAAAAAGGACAGAACAGAAAAAGAGAACAAAGTGATTCTCTTAGTTTCACGTTGGTGATTACAGATCACCTCTCAGGGGCCAGGTCTTGTCCTCAGCCAAGGTGATGACAGCCAGTAGCTCCAAGGTAGGCAGACCTGAGCAGTGCCAGCCCTTGAGACTCTGGGATGTTCTGATGTCGACAACTGTATTTTGTTTTCTAGCCCCACCTCTATATGTAGACCCTAGTGGTCACTGTTGTTGGATTCACATAGTAATCTAAACTGGGGTATAGGTTGGGAAATACAGAACGTTTTCCTTGTTTAATACCAAATAGTTCTGAATTATTGTTTCATTGATCCAAATACCACTATTGATGTGTAGCGTAACAGATCAAAGAAATGGAGTAAATGATGACCCTACTCTTTCCAAGTCCTTTTCTAAAAACAGTTAATGTTTCATTCATAGGGCAGGAGTCTTATTTTTTATATGTATAATAATTCTGTAATTACTTTTAAAAATTAAAAACTATTATCTTGCTATTGGCCCCCAGTTAGAAATGAATATAGAGTACTGTATTCATATACCAATGCCCAGAATGATAATTAGATTAAAATTTTTTCATTTATTTTTTGATTTTTACTTTTAGATCTTAATATAGAGCCCCTATCATTCATTTGGAGGAAAAACCTTAGGTCTGTTTAACCTTAAGAAATTAGGACATGAGCTCTGACTTTTTTTCCTGTAAGAGAAAATCCGTTCAAGAATCATCTAAGGATTTGCTCTCTCCAAGCAAATTTTCCCTCAAGAATTACACAGTAAAGCACTGCCAACCCATTTAGAACCAAATGTATGGGAGTAATCCAGCTTCTGTTTCCTTTTTCGTCCATTGTTTTAATTACGGTATCCAGATCTTGTCAGCAAAAGTCTGCTTGGTCCTAGTGTGAAGCTGACAGGCACTGGTAAATAACAGATGAAACTCACCTGCTAAATCCAGCTTTCTAGAAAATTATAGGAGTTTCTCTGTAGTACATCATATCACCCTATTACAACCCCGATGAGAGAATTAGAACTACAGCAGAATCCAATAATGTGGGTCAAAAATACAGGTGGAAAGAACTTTAATGCCTGCCCCAAAAGAAAAAACCCAAAATAGCCCTTGAACTGCAGGCCTAGTTGAGCTCAGCTAGTGCATTCAAGGCTGGAAGTATGAGAAAATGGCATACCTCCCTTGCTGCTTTCTGCACAAACCGTTCATCAGTGACCCGGAAAGCTCGGCACAGAGCCTCAGCAGGATCATGGGGGAACATCTCCTGGCGTACTAAATTAACATGCAGGTGAATGGAGGCATAAATAGCAGCATCCACTCCCCCATGGCCATCAAACACTGCAAAGTAAGCTTGTTCTTCTTGGTCCTGTCAGTAGAAGACACAGGGAAGTTAGGTACAGCATGACTCAAATCAACAATCCCATTCTCCTCTGCAACATTTGTCACCTAGACAGTAAGACTAAATGTTTCTCTTTTTTGATATGCCTGATCGACTGCTAAAATACCTGCACTATTAGGGCATCTGTATTTACACACAGAACACGGAACACATCTTGGCCAATTAGCTCAGGCTGAAATGCCCTCTCAGTGAAAGTTGTCATGTACCATGGAAACCGCCCACATGCAGTTGCTTCAAAACTGCTGTTACAAGTTGTGGGAAGGAGGAGGAAAGAGAAAGTATAAGGAGGAACTGAGCAAAAGCTGTTCTGGATTGAGTATTTTTTTTTTTCAAAATGAAAGTATTCTAATATAATTAGAAATTGAGAACAATAGGAAATAATTGGCTTTCAGCAAGTACAAGGCCAATTAAGTTGTTTAAAATACAGAGATAATGAAAGCATACATATACTTCTATAATATCAGGGGATCCCTGGGTGGCTCAGCGGTTTGACGCCTGCCTTCGGCCCAGGGTGTGATCCTGGAGTCCCAGGATTGAGTCCCACATCAGGCTCCCTACATGGAGCCTGCTTCTTCTGCGTGTCTCTCTCTCTCTCTCTCTCTCTCTCTCTCTCATAAGTAAAATCTTAAAAAAATAAACTATAACATCTTCATAAATCATAGTCCTATTGAATACTTCCCATAAATAACAAGAGTCTCTAAGACTGGTTAGCCAGACTTAAACCACATCAGATGTACAAATGCCCTGTAACCAATTTTGCCTTGTCCCCTAACCAAGATTTAGCTTCACACTTCCTGGCCCATCCACTGCTTGAGGCACTAAGGCAACTGCCAGAGGAACTTCATCTAAAGCAATGCTTTTTCTTAACAAAGGAAGCCTATAATCATAATACTACATTTAAGCCAATAAGTAGTTTGCTTCTTTATCTTCAACTCCAGTGTTTACATCTCAGATCTAGCTCTCTTAGTAGAGAGCTGAACTGACTGAACTCTCACTTGAGTCCTCTTTGGCTCCGCTTAGACAGTAATAATCATTTTCATGTGCAAGCTTTGACTTAATATTAGGCTCTAGGAGCTCAGATGAGTCCAACCCCCATCATTTAAAGGAAATCTAATATACAAAGTAAATCATATTATTTTCTCGTGCTTATTTTCTCATCTGTTAGGTAGAGATGAGTTGCTATCTCATGGGGATTTGGAAGAAATATTAAAACCACAGGTATATCTGTGTTTTGAAAAAATTCTTTTTAGGGGAACCTGGGTGGCTCAGTTGGTTAAGTGTCTTGACTATTGATTCAGCTCAGGGTCTTGAGATTGAGCTCTGTGTTAGGCTCTGCACTCTGCACAGTGTCTGCTTGTCCTTCTTCCTCTATTCCTCTCTCTCTCTCTCTCAAAATGTTTAAAAGAAAGAAGAAAATTATTTTTAAAGGGCATACTACATTTACAAAAGTACCAAACTTAAATGTCCATAGAGTAAAAACACCTAAATATTATGAAATCAATACCTAATACAGACATTACAACTAGTTAGTTTAATAATACCATCTATAATGCCACTGAAAATTAACTGATTAAACAGAACTATCTTGAAAAAAATGTCCGGACTATAGACTTTCTACCCATACTAAAGCAGTACTCATTTTTAAACAACTCAGTTGGGAAGATAAGAGTAAAATTGAAGAAATAGCATATCCAAGCAGTCGTTAAATGATGAGTGAGCTGATGTGGGATCATCACAAAGAGGGAGGGGACAATAGCCTTTTTGAGGCCATTAGAGTATATCTTTAAACAATGTGAGATTGGCAGGGAGATTCTTAAACAAAATAGCATCTAAAGAAATAGAAGAGACCCAACTGGATCTCTTAAAATTAGTATACCATTTTAAATTTAAAAACTATTTTTCAAAAAATATATTTTTCCCTGTTATAAAGATGATGTATTATTTATTTGGACTAATAAAGAAGCATAAAGAAAGAAATCTATATTATCCCACCATTCACAGATAACCAGTCTTTCTTCTATATAAATTTTTTGGATACAATTAGGATACTATACATAAAATTTTATATCCTGCTTTTTGTCATTTATCATATCATTAGTATTTCCCCTGTCATTAAGTATTAATGAAAGACACTTGAAATGGATATGTGCTATACATCTCATGCACATATCATAGTTACTCCCTATATATGACCTTGATCATTTCTAGTTTATTACTGAAAATGTCATGTGTAAGACATTTATGTCAAACAAAACATAAATGTAAGAATTTCCTGTATTTGTGTCCTTATAAAATTAAAAGTGAAATTACCAGATCAAAGGTAGTGAAAATATACAAGGTTCTATGCATGTGTTGCCAAACTGCCTTCAAAAACATTTCTCTAGGGGGGCCCTGGATGGCTCAGCGGTTGAGCGTCTGCCTTTGGCCCAGGACGTGGTCCTGGAGTCCTGGGATCAAGTCCCACATCAGCTCCCTGCATGGAGCCTGCTTCTCTCTCTGCCTGTGTCTCTGCCTCTCTCTCTCTCTCTCTCTGTGTCTCTCATGAATAAATAAAATCTTTATTAAAAAAAAAAAACATTTCTCTATAGCAAAGTGTTCCTTTCTGAGTTAGGCTTTTGGGCTGATTTTGAGGCAAAATTGAAAACCAACCAGATCAACAAATAGCAACAATGCCGTCAGACCTGAGTATAATCTTCAAGTGGGTGTAATGATAGAAGGATCATTTATCACATTAAAGTTAATATTTAAGGAACCCCTGGGTGGCTCAGTGGTTGGGCGTCTGCCTTCAGCTCAGGGCGTGATCCCAGGGTCCTCGGATCTAGTCCTGCATCAGGTTCCCCACAGGGAGCCTGCTTCTCTCTCTGCCTGTGTCTCTGCCTCTCTCTCTCTCTCTGGGTGTCTCATGAATAAATAAAATCTTTTAAAAAAGTAAATATTTAAGGTTACATTTGCATGGGCATGGTAACATTTGGAAACAAGGATATTCAAATATTCTAAAGATATCTGGAAACAAAGCTGATCTATCTTTGTAACATAAGCACCAATTACCAACCTACTATCACTGCTCATCAGACCTTGACAGCTAAAATTTAAATTTAGCTGCTAAATAAAGGAAATATTGTGCTTTGTATAAATTACTACGTGGTAATTTTTAAGTTACGAACTTGAGTGAAGAAAAGAGAAGTGTCACTTCCTCTGCAAGTGACAGGCAGAGGAAACTTACCTCTATTGGCACTAACATATTTAATAGGAAAAGAAGAGGAAGATAACAAGAAAATGGTTATTAAGCTGACAAAGCTCATATGATCCAATTTGTCAGTCACAGAGATTCATGAAATGTAATTCCCATCTACTTTCCCATCTCAGAAACCAAGATTTAGAAAAGGAAATCACAGGAAATCAGAAAACGGTCTCGGTTTCAAATTCACCCTTTTATGTTGCTTCATCAACATAGTAATGTGGGAACTTAATAAACATCATCTGATTTTACTGTAGTTTCCTTTTAAACAGCTTTATTGAGATATAGCAGTTTTCTTTCACATTTGTATGTTTATAGAATAGCTCTGGAAGTTTATCCCACCAAAAAATTGGTAACTTCCCTTGTCTTCATGGAGGGGAATTGAGCATCTGAGAGACAAGAGAGAGATTTTTGTTTTTGAATTCTGAACCATGTGAATGCATTACCTATTCAAATAATATAAAATTGGGTGCCTCACTGGCTCAGTCGGTAGAGCATGTGACTCTTCATTTTGGGGTATGAGTTCAAGCCCCACATTGAGCATAAAGCTTACTTAAAAATAAACAAACCAAAATAACATAAAACAGTTTTGTTTCTGCTGTCTAATACAAGCAAATTTGTGCCACTCTGCCTTTCATCCTACTCCGACCCATCAGAGATACTATATTAGCAGTTCTCCTTTTAGAAAAATAGGACCATGAAGGTGTTTGTTTTGTTTTTAAAATTTCATTGATTGTTGAGAAGGGCCCTTTACCTCAAGATTGAAGAGCATATTAAAGTCAGGAATGCAGACATGTTTGTCTTCCATTTTCCTGCGCATGTTTTTGATGGCATGGATTGATGTCTCATAATAAAGCTGGGGTCTCCTGCGGAGAGGGAAGTCTTTCACCCAGCTGCAGCAAATCTCGTGTAGTTTGCTGAAGACCGAACGGGCCAATTTCATTGTCTCAATCTCTGAAAGAAACACAGACACTCCCAATGTAAAGCTGCTTTTCACTTGCCCACTTGGTAAAGACAGAAGTAGGTCACCTTCGTCACCTCCTTAATAGAAGAAATTCCTCAAGAAAAATGAAATGTTGCTTCTGAAGAGAAAAAATGACAACCAATCTAGTAGAAAATCATCAGCCAGCAGCTGCCACTATGATATTCTTATGAGGAGAAAACCTCTGATCAAGATTGGATCTATTCCTAGACTGGATTTCTTCCAACCCTCAAAGTGCTCTGGCCACTGCTATCAAGTTCAAAGCACTGGTTAGTTCCCTTTTGGTTGGTTGCCACAGTTATTATCTGGAGAGCCAAGCTCCCCATGCGTAGAAGAATGATTGAAATATGAACAGTAGTTATCCAGCTGATTGGAATATGAAATGCCCATGAAAACATCATCTATTTACCAACCACAGGAATGAGAGTTTACTTTGATTACCATTTATTTGTCTTTGTCTTTTTTTCCTGACCTCTTCCTTTTACCTCCCTCCAGTTCCTTAACTTCTCTCCTATAACTGATCATAATTTGGAATTATACATTTTTCTTATTTGATGAATTTTTTAATTAAAGTTTTTGGCAATAGCTTAAATAGTTTAGCTAAAAAATTAAATGAGGTAAAAGTTTTAAAAGTCTATAAGGAGGGGGATCCCCGGGTGACTCAGCGGTTTAGCGCCTGCCTTCCGCCCAGAGCTTGATCCTGGACTCCCAGGATGGAGTCCCACATCAGATTCCCTGCATGGAGCCTGCTTCTCCCTCTGCCTGTGTCTCTGCCTCAATCTCTCTCTGTGTCTCATGAATAAATAAATAAAATCTTAAAAAAATGTCTATAAGGAAAAAAGTTTTTAAACTCTGTGTATATAACCCATAGCAGAGATGGCAACGTGAGGATTCTTCACACTAGACTGTTAAGTCTATTACTTGACCTGTCAAGTGGAGTAGATAACCTGACTTTGGAGGCTGATTTGCATCCCTCAATGGACAGATAGATGTGTAAACATTTTAGGCAATATAGAATAGTACTGAAGAGATTGTATCTCACATGATCCCAGCTCCAGTTGTCCTCTATTCATGCTGCAGTTATTAAATAACTAAGGGGAAATTAAGTTTCCTCAAGCCAGTACTTTGGAGATTCCTACATCTCAGGTAAAAACATTTAGAATTCTTCAAAAATTATTTCTTACTTTACTAAATCGGATATAGCGGGATCCCTGGGTGGCGCAGTGGTTTGGCGCCTGCCTTTGGCCCAGGGCGCGATCCTGGAGACCCGGGATCAAGTCCCACATCAGCTCCCTGCATGGAGCCTGCTTCTCCCTCTGCCTGTGTCTCTGCCTCTCTCTCTCTCTCTGTGACTATCATAAATTAAAAAAAAAAAAAAAAGATTTAAAAAAATAAATAAATAAATCGGATATAGCTTGACAGCCTGAGAAAATGTGTACCAGATGGGCAATGGTTGCACGTGACTCCTCTGATCTAGAACACAGATCCCACAGGAGAGAGACTGTGTACTAGCATGGCCTAGGAACTCAGGCTCCATTTTTCTATTCCTTTCCCTGCCTTACTTTAATCTGCAAGTACATTTACCTGTTTTCTTATTCAAAATCCTTTCAACAATGACTATATTCAGAAATCTTATCTCAAGATTTGCATTGCCTTTTTCCCCCTCATTAACATAGTACAGGGTGGTAAACAATGTTTTTTGACTGTGTCGCCCCTTGATGTTTTTATATAACTGAAAATAAGGGTATGTTTGAAAAAGAAAGAAAATTCAGAGAACAAGTACAGCCTGATATATATGGCTATACGGCTTAGAGAGGAACTGAAGCTGATAGACTAGCCAGTGTTTTGACAAACTCCAATATATATATATATTTTAAGTACCAGTTGCCAGAGACTATCTCTTTCTGCCAGCAATTACCTATTTGTATCACTCCAACACATCTGGTCTTTGCAGCAGCATAGGTGTGAGTTTGACTCACAACAGTAGATTGCAAAACAGTAAGTGAATTTGGAAACATGGAGTGAGAATGGAGTGGGATGAAACAAATAACATACTATCAGGATAGTTCCCAGGTTCCCAAATAATAGAAACCATTATATCATTCTTTGGCTTGTATATTATTCTTATTATATAGATTTGCACCATCCAGTAAGGCTGCTTACTAATTAAATATGGCCATTTAACTAAAAGTCAGTTTTTGGGTCACATTGGCTATATTTCAAATGCTCAGTAAGTACATATGGCTGCTGGCTACCACACTGGACAATGCAAGTAAAAAACATTTCCATCATCATGCTATTGGGCAGCACTGGTTAGATTACATTGTTTAGGGGAGGTGGGCAATACCAGCTTCCTCTAATATTTTGTAAACCAGTAGATCTGTTCCTATCCTCTCCCAGTTCCTTCTTCCCTGATGTTCCCATTACACCATTTACTATATAGCTCTTGCTACATTTTGTAACAATAGATAACATTTCTTAAGTGTTGGTTATATCCTCTGTTTCTGGAACATTACACAAACAAGTAAAACAATTTTCTATCACAGGTCTATCTGACTCTGACATCCATGATCTACATTTCCCAAATAATACTGCAGATGCAGATTGTGTCTTATTTGTACTTGATTAGTCATAGTACAGTACCTAGCAGGTAACAGGGACTCATTAGATGCTTATTAAATAAATGAATACGCAAGGTTATATTAAGTTACTAAAAAATTATGTTTTTTGAATGTCTATTCTGCTTTACTGATCTCTCCATCTATTTCCACAGTGGTGCCATTATTTTAGAATTACTATAACTTTATAACATGTTTTTGTATCAGGAGGATTCGTCATCCTACCTAATATAATTTTAAAAGATGTCATTTAGTAGTTTGACATGTTTATTATTCTCGATGATTTTTCTAATTATTTTGTCAAGTTTGAGGGGAGAAATCTGTTGCCACTGCATTTGGGGTCACCTTGAATTTATAGGGTAATTTGCAAAAAAAATTGATGTCTTTTGCATATCGAGTCTGATCCGGGAATAGGCTGTATTGTTTCCTTAATTGAAATCCTCTTTATGTTACTCAACAAGGTTTTAATATGGGATCTACAATCTTTTTTTTTTTTTAAGTAATCTCTACTCCCAATGTGGGGCTCTAAATCACAACCCAGAGATAAAGAGTTACAGGCTCCTACAACTGAGTCAGCCAGGTGCCCCAAGATCTTCATATTTCTTAAAAAATTTATTTCAGTTATTTTACTTTATTTCCTATTTTGAGTCAGAACTTTGCTTTACTGTGTTATTGGCTACTTCACAAACATTCCTCTTTCTCCCAGAGACATTTCCTTCTCTGCTCTCAGTTCATGTGCATCCAGGTTTTACCCCTAGATGCACATGAACTGAGAGTAGAAAAACATTCATTTCCAGCTGATTAGATACACATTCTTCTGGCCATAGTGATTGGCTCAGGAATTGGAAATAACCCAAGTTGGGCTGGTTAGAGTGAATCCTGTAATTTATGTAAGAGCAACTGAGTAAAGTTACTGCTACTTTCCTGCTTGATTTGAATGAACCTGGGCAGATGAAAGACCTGGCGCTTCTGCAGCGGTTTGGCGCCTGCCTTTGGCCCAGGGCGCGATCCTGGAGACCCGGGATCGAATCCCACATCCGGCTCCCGGTGCATGGAGCCTGCTTCTCCCTCTGCCTATGTCTCTGCCTCTCTCTCTGTGACTATCATAAATAAATAAAAAATTAAAAAAAAAAAAAAAGACCTGGCACTTCTAGCAATCATCTTGCCACCACATGGAGCCTGAGGATAAAATCAAAATTAAAGTGGGGTGCCTGGCTGGCTCAGTTGGTAGAGCACCATGGGTCCAAGCCCCATATTGGATGTGGAGCCTATGAAAGAAAGAAGAGAAAGAAAAAGAAGAAAGGAAAGGGAAAAGAAAAGGAAAGGAGGAAGGAAGGAGGGAGGGAAGGAAAGAAGGAAAGAAAAAAGAAGAATACAGCTGAGATGTGGAGAAATGCCAGGTTGGGAAGAATCATATGAAGCCTTGAATCTAGCTGTGTAGCCCATATGTTGAAGCGTAGCCAATCTATTCTGTTTTGCTGAAGCAGTTTGAGTTGTGTTCATGGTCACTTGTAACCAAAAAAAATTCTTAAGTATGTATTATGCGTAAATGCTAGATTTTGGTCTGAGCCAAATTTTGTCCTACATAGTCCATGATGTATCATATAGTTCTACTTTATTAAGTATATTTTTAAAATTATGAATGGAGGGGTGCCTGGGTGGCTCAGTCAGTTAAGCGTCTACCTTAAGCTCAGATCATGATCTCAGGGTCCTAGAATTGAGCCCTACATCTCAGAAGGGAGCCTGCTTCTCCCTCTCCCCTCTGCCTGTCACTCCTTCTGCTTGTGCGCTCTCTCTCTAATAGATAGATGAAATCTTAAAAAAATTTTTTTTCTTAAATAAAGTTAGGAATGGATAATTGAATTTTATCAGATGCTTCTTTGGGCATCTTTTGAGATTCTGGTGTTTTTCTTTTGACCTATTAATATATAAAATATCCTAACAGACTTCCTATAATTTTTGTTTTGTTCATGGTCTCCTCAGCATAGTGCTAAGCACTGGCAGATCCTCAATAAATGAATGAATGGATGAACTGTTGTACTCAATATACAAATATTTTACTTAAGATTTTTTACATTGACTACTAAGACTGATATCTCATTTCCTTTTTTACTTTTGTTTCAGACAAGTTTTGGTATCAGTGTTATGCTTTGCAAATGTCCTTCCTTATGCTATTGGAGAATTCCATTTTACAAAACATTGGAATTGTCTTTGCTCATTTGAAAATGTCCCCCTGTAGAATCACCTATTTTTTGTTCTTTTTAGAAAATAGCTCCTTGACAATCTTAATCTCTTCTTCTTAGGTAAAGCTTATTAATTTGTATTTTGCTAGAAAACACCCAGGTTTTCAGATTCATTTATATACACAGAGCTTTCATAATTTCTTCAGTGTTAGTGTTAATTTTCCCCTTCTTTTTAATTTTTACACTGGGATATTTCTTTTCTTTTTTTTTTTTTTTTTTACACTGGGATATTTCAAATTTATTTTAGGTTGTCTGGACAGGAGTTATATCTGCCAAACTAAATGTGTAACAACAGATACACAAGGTCGTTTAGCAAACATTCTGGTAGAGATGACAGAAACATGGAAAGAGCTTTAGGTTAATGATTTTTTTTTATTTTTTTTTAAGTCTGTTTTTGGAAACAACTAAGAGGAGACACAAAGGCATTTCAGTGGGGACCTAAGTGCCTTTAAGCCAATGACAGCAGGCCTTATTCTGTAAGCTCATTTTACACTCTGATGTATGGATAAACACAATATACCCTGTAGAGATTCTCCTCAGGGCATTCATACTGAGTGACTTGGGTTAAATAGATTAAGAATTTGCAAATAGTTAGAATTACAATAGATCTTTCTGAATCACAGCCTTGGCAAGGAGACACTACTAGGTAATCTCTTGAAAAAATACAAAATCAGAAGGACCAGTGATACCACCAAAAGACAAAAACCCCTTCATTTCAGTCTGCTATCTTATGGAGGTTCAGAAAATGCTTCCAAAACAGGCATGCAGGGCAACACTTCAGTCTTGCTACGTTAAGTATTCTCCTTCTGCAGGGATTGTAGAACATCAGTATATAAATAATTGCTGCTTGAAATGGAAAAATAAAATAAAAACGGTGTGAAAAAGAGAAAATTGTCCCAAGTAGCAATCCGCCCCCTCGCAGCTGTAAATTACTCATTAGTCGTTAATGTCACTGTACTGAGCTGGAGCTGAGTCAGCCGCCACCCAGGCTGCAATGAAGCAGAATTCAATATCCCTCATCTTTTCATTACAAGGCTTTGACTTCATGCATCAGTACCAGAGGAAAGACCAGTGCTGTGTAGCAGGAATTCCATCCAAGTTGACTCTGGAACAATTTGGTTCCAAGTGAATCAATTACTCTCAGTAAAAACAAAAGGAGGAATTCCTTTCTTGCCAATTTTCTGTCAGAAATGATCTAGAGAGATAAAGGAATAACAGAAATGTTTACTTTTATATCTGCTTCAAGTTCTCTGGGATCTAGCTACTCTGATTCATTAATATAGGCTTTGTTCTTTATGCACCATGTTTAAAGGCAAATGCTTAAAATAGAACAAAGTGAAATATTAAAATTCCTTAATAATTTTGTAAGTTGAGTTGTAATTCCTAATTTTTACAAAAATTGGTATTTCTTCAGAGCCTGTCAAATATGTATAAGCCTAATATGTTTTTTAAAAGCCTAATATGTTAATCAATATGCCTTCATTAATAAATAATTTGCCTAGAAAAAAGATACACAGTGATCATGCAATTAAATCACATTTACATAGTTGTTATGGAGAACTCTACTTATATATTGGTAGAATAAAATTTAATATAATTAATGAGAAGTTTTGTTACAACTGATTTCTTGAATTTTTATATCATTTTTTACTTGGATTCTTATAGGTAAGCTACATATTTTAAATAGGCCTTGCTCAAACTCTTCCCTCACTCATCTTTTCTGTTGTGTCTCCACACTTCTCACTTTACTCTTTCCACTTTTCTAGGCATTATCTATGGTAATATTCTGTTACGATAATCTCTTGCTCCAGTTATTATCACGTTTTTAAAATATACCTGTATGTTTTCCTTTATCCCTCCTTTTATTGATAGTTTGAAATATACATATATATACTTTTTTTTTTGCATTTTTTTCTTTTTTCTCTTACTACCACTACAAAATCAGTAAGTGGGTAAACATAATTAGGCTTTATATTGTGTATACACTTTCTGTGGATTACTACACATGAGAAGATTTTAACATTTTTAAACAAATAATGTAGAAAGGTACTCACCCACAGTCCCTTCTGTGCCATCTGTTTCCTTTGGGATATAATGTGCAGAAAGATCACTCTGAAGGACTTCATCTGATGTGGCTCTGGCTAAAGCAGCAGCCAGAAAGGAAGGGCAATTACTGAAAGAAAAAGGGCTACTTCAGTAAGAATTAGGAAGTAATAAATTTAACATTACTAATTATTAACATATCTGTCTCCAAAAAAAAAATTTTTAAACACTATTCAACACATATTTATTGAGTGCGTAGTATATGCTATGCACTCTGCCTTGTGACTGGGTTCACACTGAGGAATAACACAAACATGGCTTCTGACCCAATAAGGCTATAATCTAGCTAAGGAGAAAGACAATAAATAAGTAAACAAACAGGATACAATTTAAAATTGGGATAAGTTTTATAAAAGAAACAAACAGGATAAAGTGAAAGAATAACAGAGGGGGGTATCTACTTAGAAGGGTCAGGAATCCATATCTTGAAGGATAAGAAGATTTGGTTCTGTGGGGGTGGGAAGTTGGGAGACATTATTCCAGACAGAGAAAACAGCATGTGTAAAGATCCTTTCTGAGAGCTTGGTATGTGTGAGGAACTGATAAAAGCCCAGAAAAGATGAAGTATAGTGGATAAGGAAGAAAGATGGCAGAGAATAAGGTCAGAGGCAATAGTCAGTTATATGTACCTTTTACATCATGGAAGGGAATTTGGATCTAACACAAAGTGCAGTGGGAAGTCCTTGACGATTCTGAGCAAGAGGGGCACATGGGTGGCTCAGGTCATGATCCCAGGGTCCTGGGATGGAGCCCTATGTCGGGCTCCCTTCTCAGTGGGGAGTCTGCTTCTCCCTCTCTTTCTGCCCCTCCTCCCACTCATGTTCCCTCTTTCTAGCTCTACCTCAAATATATAAATATATATATGTATGTGATATGTGTGTGTATATATGTATATATATGTATAAATATATTATATATATATATATATTCTGAGCAAGAGCATGCCATAACCAGACATGAATTAAAATATGACTTTGCTGTGCCAAAGGAAATAAAAAAAGAGCAAGAATGAAGGAGGGTGGTCAATAAAGAGTTTGTTGTAAACCAGGTGAGACTGAAGAAAAAGTAAGAATATTCTAGAGAAAGAAAATACAGAACTTACTGATTATTACTATATAGAGATGAGAGAAGCAAGTTAAGGCTGAGTCCTGGGTTTTGCTTTGAGCAACTAGGTGAATGGTGGCATCATTCACCTAGATTGAGAAACCAAGAAAAGAACAAGTTTGTGGAGGCAAAGGGTAAAAAAGAAGACAAGAATTAATTTTAGCATATTAAATTGGAAGTATCTGTGAAATATCCTAGTGAAGGTATCAAGAAGTGAAAGTTATTAGATACTCTACTGTGGAGCTCAGAGAGGTTAGAAAATTTGGAAGTCATGAATGTATGGATGATATTTAAAACTATGGAAAAAAGAATACATAGGAAGAAATTATAAAAAGAGAATTGCCTATATTTTCCAAACCCTTTCAAAATAGGAAAGTTATCTCATGCCTCACCATTGTATGTTGGGGAGTTATGGGAAAGGTGTAGATAGTTTGCTTCTTTAGTCACCATGTTTTACATCAAGCAGCTTTCATCAAGAAATTGTACCCAAGGAATCTCACCTGCACCTGACCTCACTGAGTTCCTAAAGCTCTGACCTGAGCCTGATGCCATTAAGGGATGGAACTTTGGGAGACTTTATGGGGTGGGGTGGGGGAGTGAGTATATTTTGCACGTGTGAAGGATGTGACCTGTGTGGCCAGAACAGACATGGCAGGTTGTTTTTCTAAAACAGACCACAACAATATTTCTGGTAGCTGGTACAGCTGCTTTGGCAGTTCCGTAAAATGGTGAAGTTATTATATAGCCCAGCAATTCCACTTATAGGTATATATCCAAGAGAAATTGAAAGCATACATTGACACAAAAATGTGTACCTGAATGTTCATAGCAGCATTATTCATAATAGCCAAAAAGTAGAAACAACCAACTGTCCATAAACTGATTATGGATAAATAAAAGGCAATGTATTCATGCAATGGAATATTATTCAGCCATAAAAGGAGTAAAGTATTGATATATGCTACAATATGGATAAATCTTGAAAACATTATGGTGATATAGAAGTCAGTTACAAAAGACCACATACTCTTTGATTCCATTTATATAAAAGTCCAGAATAGGCAAATCTAAGAAACCTAGAGTACAGCAGCAGTAGCCTAGGGCAGAGGGGTGAGGTGAATAGAGAGTAACTGTTGATGGGTAGGAGGCTGCTTTTTGGAGTGATGAAAATCTTCTAAATCTTGGATTGCAGTGATGGTTAAACAATTATAAATGTACTAAAAGCAATGAATTGTATACTTTTAAAGGGGTAACTTTTATGCTATGTGAATTATATCTCAATAAAGATGTTTAAACCATTGAATAGAGGAGATGAAAGTAAGATTAGAATGGGTAAGTGGGAGGCAAGGAGGTGTGGCAGACACAGAAATGGGCAGTAACTGAAAGGGCATTTGAGGACAGGGACAGTTCTTATTTTAGAATGGTGTAGAATCTGACTGTATACTAAATGAAATAATCTAGTAGAGAAAGATTGATAGATAATGAAGGAGACGGGATGACCAAAGGAGAAAAGTTCCTGAGAAGGCAAGAGATGATATCCAATCCATATGTGGAAATTGCTGACCTTTGATAGCATGAGGCACATTTCACCAGTTGGGAAAGGAAGAAAATAGGTACAGATGCAAATAGATTTCTAGATTTCCTAGTAGGAAAATAAGAGAGAGAGTTCCCATCTAAAGTTTTGAGTCAACAATAACCTATTGAGTTACAGTGTTCCAGGCCCTGTTCTGGTACTTAGGATATAAATGACCAAAAAAGACAAAAACTCCTGCCTTTGGAACCCTCATACACTGTTGATGAGAATGTAAATTGGTGCAGCCACTACAGAATACAGCATGGAGGTTCCTCAAAAAATTAAAATAGAGATAGCATACAACCTAGTAATTTCACCTCTGGGTATTTACCCAAAGAAAACAAAAACACTAATTCAAAAGGATATGTGCACTTTTATGTTTGTTGCAGCACTGTTTATGACAGCCAAGATAAGGAAACAATCTAATGTCCATCCACAGATAAATGGATAAAGATGTGGTTTATATACAATGGAATATTAGCTTTAAAAAAGAATGAAATCTTGCCATTCATGATAACTTGGATGAACCTATGTCAAGTAAGTCAGAAAAAGGACCATATAATTTCACTTATACGTGGAATCCAAAAAACAAATGAACAAACAACAGAAATAGACTCAAAAATACAAAGAACAAACTAGTAGTTGCCAGTGGAGAGGGAGGTGAAAATAGGTGAAGGTGATTAAGAGGTACAAACTCCCAGTTATAAAATAAGCCATGGGGATGAAAAAGTACAGCATAGGCAATACAATCAATAATACTGTAATAAGGGATCCCTGGGTGGTGCAGCGGTTTAGCGCCTGCCTTTGGCCTAGGGCACGATCCTGGAGACCCGGGATCGAATCCCACATCGGGCTCCCGGTGCATGGAGCCTGCTTCTCCCTCTGCCTGTGTCTCTGCCTCTCTTTCTCTCTCTGTGTGACTATCATAAAAAAAAAAAAATTAAAAAAAATAATAATACTGTAATAAATTTGTAAAGTGACAGATGGTTACTATATATATGGTGAGCATTTCATAATGTATAATTGTTGACTCACTGTGTGGTTTATCTGAAACTAACATGGTATGTCAACTATACTTAAAGCAAAAACAAAAATAACCTCTGTCTCTGGAGCTTACATTCTAGAGAATGGCTTCTCAGTGAAGTATGGGGTTAGATCAGTAGTTTTTTTTTTTTTAATTTATTCATGAGAGACAGAGAGACAGGCAGAGACACAGGCAGAGGGAGAAGCAGGCTCCATGCAGGGAGCCCGATACAGGACTCGATCCCGGAACCCCAGGATCATGCCCTGGGCTGAAGGCAGGCACCAAACTGCTGAGCCACCCAGGCATCCCTAGATCAGTAGTTCTTAAACTTTTGCAGTCATCAGAATCGCTTTTCAAGGCTTATTAAAACACACATTGCTGGGTTCCATCCCCAGAGTTTTTGACTCAGTAGGTCTGAAGTAGGACTTGAGAATTTTCATTTCTAACAAGTTCCCAGATGAGGTTCATCCTGCTGATCTAGGGACCACACTTTGAAAGCCATTGGGTTAGGTTATCAACTGGGCAGTGAGGGTAGAAAGTATGTTGGGCAGGAGGGACGAAGAGAAAGTAAGTATGAAATAGTCATATCAGAGAGTAGGACTGTCAGTCCTAAGAGATTGTTGGAAATTTGGGAAAATTTTTAAATAAAACCAGTCTTTCTGGTTGTACGATTTTCTCCATCTGTGTTCATGTGCATCCATGCATCTATGTTCATCTGTAGTAAAAAGAATTGTCTAGTTCATCAAGATTTGGGATTTTACAAGGTGAGCATTAAGTGAAGAAGAGACATCTAAATTTAATATCTTTTTAAGAATCTGATTACAATGTTAGACCATGGACTTTTCATTGGCTAAGAAAGAATAGGCATGAATGGTAAATCAGTGTGGTCTAAATGTAATTAAAGAACCGTAGTAGGAGTACTTGGTCACATAAACTAGGACAAAATATTGTAGTCTGAGAACAGGATGCTTGTATATAAGATTTTAGAGCCAGTGCAATATCTGTGATAAGGTTTAGGTGAGACTAAGAAAGTGAGTAGTTTAGTGGTTTAGAAACATAAAATAGCAATGTTTACATTCGAGGTCCTCAAGAGAAAAAAAAAAAAGAAAATTATCTTTATCATCATTCATCAGTATTTGTAGGTTATGATCCATTGTAGTTAAATGAATATATGAATTGTGACCAGCATTCTTTTTTAGAGATTTACTTACTTATTTGAGAAAGCAAGCCCAAGTGAGGAGGGAGAGGGGTAAAAAGAGAGGGAGAAGCTGACTCCCCACTGAGCAGGGAGCCCGATGCAGGGCTCCATCCCAGGACCCCAGTATCATGACCTGACCTGAAGGCACATGCTTAATCAGCTGAGCCACCA